TTTCTCCGGTTGATTTTTACCTATCTGTTTTGATCCCTTAGATAGCACTTTGTGCTTATAGCCCTTTCCTAAGTTAATTTGCTGGTTAACTAATGTCTGCAGGTCTTCCATTGCTCCAAACATAAAAAGTTGAACAGTTCTGGTCAATGAATGTGACAAAAGCAACTCATTCAGGTCGTGTCTCTCAAAGTATACTCCTTAAGACACTAGTTATCATAGATTTTCACATTTTAAAAATAGTCCCTCAAATAATTTTGGGAAGTGCTAGTTTAATCAAAGTTAAACAGATTTCTTTGCCACAATACTTCTTAGAGCCTTAATGATATTCATGCAAGAGAATGCTATATGCAATACAGGGATTTCCAAACGTATTTGATCACAGAACCCATCTTTTAAAATGAATCCCAAAGGATGAGTGTTCTGTAGAACATGCTTTGAGAGCACTGCATTAGGAAGACATTATTCTCTGAGCTTGATAACCAATGGCTGAAACTATAGCCCTCAAAAGTCAGATAATATGAAAGGAAAATAAATAAAAGGCCAAATCTGGTGTGAAGCCTCGAGGTCTCCTATTACTTATAGCTAACATTGATATTTCTTTATCTCATAAAAGTGCTTTTTATGGGAAAAGTTTGATTCATGCTACCTAATATAAAATTATACTACAAGACCATAGTAATCAAAACAGCATGGTACTGACCTAGCCAGTTTGGCCCAGTGGATGGAGTGTCGGCCTGCAGACTGAAGGGTCCCGGGTTCGATTCCGGTCAGGGGCACATTCTCAAGTTGCGAACTCAGTCTCTAGTGGGGGGCATGCTGGAGGCAGCCGATCAGTGATTCTCTCTCATCATTGATGTTTCTCTCTCTCTCTACCTCTCCCTTCCTCTCTGAAATCAATAAAAATATATTAAAAAAACAAACAGCATGGTACTGGCATAAAAACAGACATATATATCAATGGAACAGAATAGAGAGCCCAGAAATAAACCCATGACTTCATGGTCAATTAATATTTGACCAAGAAGGCAAAAACATACAATGGGCTAAAGACAGTCTATTCAATAAATTGTATTAGGAAAAATGGACAGATACTTAAACCACCCCCACCCCCCCCCCAAAAAAAACTAGACTACCTTCTTATAGCACACATAATAAACTCAAAATGGATTAAAGACTTAAATTAGAAACCATAAAAATCCTAGAAGAAAACATTGGCAAGAAAATCTCGGACATTTCTCGTAGAAATTTTTTCTGATATATTGCCTTGGGCAAGGGAAACAAAAGAAGAAAAAAACAAGTTGGAGTACATCAAACTAAAAAGTTTTTACACAAAGAAAATGATCACCCAGCTGATGTGGCTCAGGGGTTAAGCATCTACTCATGAACCTGGAGGTAGTGTTTTCTTTTCCCTTCCGCTGATATGGAATACAGTATCTATGAAGATGATTATGTCCTAAGAATAACAGAAAAATGAGAAGGACGGTACCTGAATGATGGCCTGTAGGAGAGGCGCTCCAACTTGGATCACTTACCTTAAAACTGCTTGTTACATAAGCCAAATAAACCTCTATCTTTAATGACAGAACTATAATTTTGACTCTCTTAATACAGCAATTTAGCATTTATCCTCACTAAAACATAGTGTTAATAATAATAATTTAACATAGATGTGTTATATTACAACTTACAATATGCTCACATATACATTATTTTTCTAAACGAGCGATTTTCAACTTTTTAACTTCATGGCACACATAAACTAATTACTAAAATTCTGTAGCATGTAGAAAAATATATTTTTTGCCAAAAGGTATAATTTTGATTCATTCACACCAGACAGCTATTGTTGTATTGGTTGTTGCCATTTTTTATTTGATGATCTAAGAGAAAAGAGGTCAGTGCCCTTGACTAAATAGTCAGGTATTGCATGTTTTAAAAATTCTTTTAGCACACTGGTTGAAAATCTCTGTTCTAAACCTTCTTCATTTTTATTTTGTTCCCTTTTAGTTTTTGCAAGTAATTATTGTCTGCAAGCATGTTAATCTTAACATTGAAAATGAAGGCTTTATTTGTCTTTCCTTCCTATATAATAAAAGGCTAATATGCAAATCAACTGAACGGCGAAATGACCAGTTGCTATGATGTGCACTGACCACCAGGGGGCAGATGCTCGACGCAGAAGCTGCCCCCAGGTGGTCAGTGCGCTCAGCCAGAAGCTGAGCTCATGACTGGTGAGCGCAGCGGCAGTGGCGGGAGCCTCTCCTGCTTCCACAGCAGCGTTAAGGATGTACGATTGACAGGGAGTGGGCCTAAACCATCAGTTGGACATCCCCCATGCACTCCTGGACTGTAAGAGCAGTGATGGCGAACCTGTTGGGCTCAGGGTGTCAGCATTTTGAAAAACCCTAACTTAACTCTGGTGCCATGTCACATATAGAATTTTTTTGATATTTGCAACCATAGTAAAACAAAGACTTATATTTTTGATATTTATTTTATATATTTAAATGCCATTTAACAAAGAAAAATCAACCACAAAAATGAGTTCGCGTGTCACCTCTGACACGCATGTCATAGGTTCGCCATCACTGTGCAAGGGGGTGCAGGCTGGGCTGAGGGGACCCCCACCCCCACCCCAAATGCATGGATTTTGTGCACTGAGCCTCTAGTTATATCATAATTAAGCTGGGAGGGGAAAAAGAAAACTAAGGCTAATCATAGTTATAATTATTGGCTCACTGTTATTTTGTCTATGTTTTCAAGCTACATGCCAAGCTGTCTAAAGGAGGTTCCTTTTTGTTAGTTTATATTTAAACTAACAAAAACCTCCAAATATAAAATTCCCAAAATCCTAATGGTATGATTACAACTGACAGAATTGTATCTTCATGAACTATAGTATCTTTCTATGGAATAAGTGTTCAAGGATATCTATTATTCAAAATAAGTATCTGTATTTTCATGATGATACAGAGTGATTTAACAGCAATTGTTTGAAGTGCAATTTTATGGTGAGACATCCTGCTAAATGAGAGAAAATCAAGTATTTGGAGGTAGCTACTGAAATATGTATGTATTTATAAATACATCTTATTAAAGAGCCAGACAAAATAAAGTATGACTCATTTTTGGTAAACATTTCCTAAATTTTCTTATATTATTATGGGAGTTACCTTCTGGTTTTAATAATGTATATAAGATGAATTACTATTTACTTTCTTCTTAAAGAGAATGATCTATTTAACAGAAAGGTCTTTAAGATCTAATTAATTATCCTGTACTCTCTTGTTAGTAAGTTCAGGAACCACTGTTAAGGAAACAATTAGACATAATAAAATTTTACCAACCCATGTTTCTTGTAGCTGCAATTTATAGTAGATGGTAGAAGTTTAAAGCATTCAAAACATGTTTTTATTATATCCACTTTAGAGGGGTGAAGCAAGAGCTATTAGCAAATGCTAAAGGAATTTGTAATCTATCTTAGAATGGTAAAACTACAAGGAACCTTAGAGCTCCTTCATTTCACAGATGAGGAATCAGAAGTTTGAAAATTATTTTAATTAAAGGAAGCTTCCTGAAGTGGAAAAAAAATTCTTCTTGAAATTCTAGGTATTGTATAATTCAAATCAAAAAACTTTCACAGCGTTCTGGAGGGCTGCCCTAACCATCTTTCCACTTCATACATAGGAAAACTAAGGTATAAGCAAGCTAAGCAGTTCACTTATTATCTCTATGAATCAGTGTCATAGCTGGGAATGGAAGCCAAAACTTTAAATGCTGGAACAACCTCACAAAAGTAGGATGAGCTCATAGGCAATGTATGCTGGCTGCGGGTGAGGGGAAACCATGTTTGGGAAGTCCTCGCGTGGAGTACTCTATTTCACAAGCCCCGTACTTGCTGAAGACTGCAAAATGCTTGCTTATTGATTTGAAATCTTTAAAAACCTCCAAGGACTATAGCATCTCAGATTCCCTACCTTCCTCTAAAAAAAGTGTCCTTGAATCCTAGAAGCTTAAAATGTGCTTTGTATTTGATTCGGTCTTACATGTCCAGCAAGTGCATACAATTTACATTTACATTTAGTCGCCTTTGTGAAATCCTTCTTTCGGCGTTTCAAGCGAACATTTAGAGTAAGACTACTCATTGGAATCCCTCCTGTTTAGAAACGTATAAAATTCACCTTGGGGCGTTATAAATACTAGTACAATAAAGTTCCCGACAGATCTCAGTATGCACACCTTTTCCCCACCAAAGCACCAATGATGATAAACTTGCAAAGAGAACTCAACCCTTTTAAAAAAACAAAACAAAGCAAAAAACCCTGAGCTGTGCCCGTGTCGCTGATGTCACATCTGGTGGTTGTACCAGACACATTCCCACGGGTCGTGGCCGGTATTTCTGATGACCCCATTCGGTGCTGCGAGGTGCTCAAGCCATTACCGCATCCCTCTCCCCCTGCGATGCTCGGGGGAACTCACGCGGGAGCAACCGCGCGGGGCACTGCTGCTGTGCAGCCCACGGGACCGATCGCGAATCGGGGAGCCCTACTTGGCAGCCCTCCCGGGCCGCGCAGAGGGGAAGCGGCTCGGTTAGCGGAGGAAAAGGGGGGCTCCGCGGAGGGGGGCGGCCGGGCGTGTGCAGCAAGGGACGCGGAGTTTGAGGAGAAGGCAGAAGGGGAACCGAAGAGTTGGGGATCGAAATACCAGCAGGAGCCGAGCGGGTTGGGGAAGAGGGGGGTTCGGTGAGGGTGACCCCGGTTCAGACGAGTGAATGAATGACTGAAAGGGGGCGCAGGAAATGGGTGCCAAAGAAAGAAGTGAGCGATCGCGGAGGAGGAAGTCGTCCCTGGAAGGGGAGGGGCGAAGGGGAAGCAAGAGTGGAGTGTCTGCACTTTCGAGGGGAAGGACCAGAGAGCCTCCCCGGACCGGGGCCCCGGCGCCGACGCGGGGGGAAGGGCGGCGGGCGGCGGAGGGCCCGGGGTCCGGCGCCGACGGCCTACCTGAAGCGCTCCTGCCCCGCCGTGTCCCAGAGCTGCAGCTTGATCCGCTTGCCCGGCTCGATCTCCAGCAGGCGGGAGAAGAAGTCCACGCCGACCGTGGGGTCGCAGGCGGGGGAGCGCAGCCCCGGGAAGCGGCCCTGGGTGAAGCGGTGCAGGAGGCACGACTTGCCCACCGTGGAGTCCCCGATCACGATGAGGCGGAACTGGTAGATCCAAATGGTCTCCATCGCGGCGGGCCCCGCGCGCTCCGGGGCCGCCCCACCCTCCCCACGGCCGCCCGGCAAGTTCGGCGGCGGGAACTGTCCCTTCAGCACCTCCGGGTGCCCGCCCGCCGGCTTCCAGCACATTCCTGCGGCCGCGCCTGGACCCCGCCCTCTCCGGAGGGGGAGGCGGGCG